CTTATTTTAGTATAACAACCCCCCTGTACTAACAATATGTTGATATGGTAAAATGTTACCGTATTGTACCAATGGAACATTAGTAGAAAACACATCTGGTTTAGTTATTTTTGTAAGGCAGTTTGTACATACAAACCACAGAGCAATAAATATTTTATCATTATATTAAAAACGAGCTTTAAATGCATTTGTCCCGTCTTTTTCACTGCTAATGTTGTCCAGTTCCATTCACACTTTAAAAAAAAAAATTAAAAAATAAAGGAAAAAAGGGCAGCACAGTGGGGTTTATATTAGCTTTGTACTGCTAATTGGACAGAAGACCGTGTACTGCAATGTTGATTAATGATTCCACTCTCAAGCCAGAGATTGCAAGTACAAAAGAATGAGGCTTCTGAATTTGCATATTTTCTATAACTACAGACTTGATCACAGCTGTCTCCCCTATTCGGGTTCCCCCCTCTTACCCTGACACTTTTGTTTAACTTGCACAAGTCTAGCTGCTGACAGGTACAGTCATATGATACCTATGATACATGACAACTCAATCAATCTGCATACTTGCTATGCAGCCTGCACTGGAAATGACTCAAGGTCTAAAATGCTGAAAAAAATCAAACAAAAGCCTAACTTTCTTCCATAAGGAATGTTTTGTTCCAGGAGAGCACTTTTTTTTTTTTTTTTTTTAATTGCTCTCATTTCAGATAACTCATTTATGACCGCAATAAATACGCTTCCATCAAAAATCTGCTGACTTAAAGACAGCAAATACATTCTTGTCAGCCAGTCAGACAGAATAAAATAGAGCTAACTCAATGAAATGGAGTCCAGACTGATAACTTTGCCAGCCAGAGTGAGAGCATCACATGCGGATGGGAATACAAGACTTGGAAAAAGGAAAAATATCAGCAGCCAAGTTCTATTGAATAATCGATATGCAGACGACAGGGAAAAGAGCTGGATAGTTTAATAAGTAGTTACAATATAAATTTTTAAAGTGCATTACAAATAGCTTCTAAATAAGGGGTAATATTCAACTGCTCTGCTGGTGGTCTTCTCTGCAGCTGCAGAAGCCCTGCCAGTCTACTCAAATCACACTGGGAAGCTGTCATGTACTTGATGTGACAAATTGGACTCAGTGATAATAGGTGTGAGCCCAGTAAACAGCTACTGGTCTTGTGTAGTAGCCAGTATTTCATATTTATTGAATACTCAACCCAAAGATAAGAGCAAAATGGAAAAAAAACAGGCTTTTTACCCCAGTGCCATCTTCTAGCACCTGCTGGAACATTTTTAAAGCTGCATTTACCAGCTCACCCTTCACTGACCATCCTGAACAAGCTCAGTGGTTTTACTGTTCTTTAAATGTAATTAATCATGTCTCAATTTCTGTCCTGTTTGAGGGTTTAAGGGTTTAGTTTTTACCTGCACTTCCTCTTGAACCTTCCTAGGCTCCACAGCAAACTGGAAACAGTTGTGTCAGCTCAGCTGGACAGGGTTTAGCTTAAGATCAGGTACATTGAATGGGGTAGTTCCTTTCTACCACTCCATTACAAAACATTCAGTTTCATATTGTTATAGCTTGCTACTTAGTACAGATTCGAACTAACCACCTCTGAAAAGTATCTTCCTTTCTTTCTTGGCTCTAGTCTACACTTTTTCCCTCCAGTGCACTACAAAAGACTGTAACTTTTTCCTAGACTGTCCTTTTAGTACATTTTTTCCCCGCCTGACTCCTGCAGTTGCCCTCCCTAAGTATTTATACTGGGAAAACACAACATACAAATTCCAGAACAGGTAAATGAACACAATTCTTTGTAATTGCCCAGACATTCTAATAATGAGACTTTGACAAGATGGGGCTTTGTTTGTAGGGTTTGGTGGGAGGTTTTTTTGTACTTGTTTAAACCGGTTTTAAACTCCAGTTTTTTAAAGGCTTTAGCCAGTTGGATAATACAGGATGACTCTTCTGCTACATTGGTCTCATGCAATTTGCAATGCAGGAATATCTTTTCAAGCAAGAAAAAGTGTAAGCAACAACATTAAAGAAAAAAAAATAAAACACTTATTCCAAAAGTTGATTTTGTCTGCTTAAAGTGATTTTACTTTTAACTCTTTCACTTAGCTCTATTATTACTAATGACTTCAGAAGAGCTAGTTTATAAATTTTAAATGCCAACCTTACAACATAATCATCTTGAAATTATTTGAAAATAAGTCTAAAAAGTACTTTCAAACCAACAGGACAGCATCGAACTTCCCTTCATGGTTAGGGCTTGTCAAACACTGGTCAGACATACTACAGTCAAAATGCAAATTTCTCAACTCCACGTGCATTGGCCATTCTCAAATTATCCATTGATATCAGCTAAAGAGCATCCTCCTAAAACAATCTCCAGTCTTCAGATGGAGCAGGCCGGAGACAGTCTCATTAACCTGAACATTTTCTAAGCAGTATTTTATGTGAATGGATAAAACTCAAAGACCTAAGGAAATATAAACAGTGAGAAAGTGCTTGAGAAAACACTGAAAAGAAGGCAATGCATGAGACTAGTTATTTTCAGTATATTTCTGGTAAATCGTAATGACTTTGTTGTCCTAAAATGTTTTCATTATACAGTGCGAAGCTCTTTGCTTTTAAGATGCTATCTTTGTTCCTCTTTGACACACTCGTTTATTTATTTATTTTGAATCTACAGTGATTATTCTTACTTGTATTTCATTCCTTCACTTCCCATGGAGTGCTTGGGAACAGGAATCTACAATGCTAAAGGTAGAGGCCATGCAAAGTTGGAGTACAAAAGGGTACACAGACAAATATTCAAAAAGAAATGCTTCTCGTAACAGGTTAGGTCAATTAAGATACTCCCAGCACCCCAAGCTCTGCAGGACCATAAGTTCTTACAAAAATTTATGTAATTTGTGAATTATTTTTTTAAAACTTCAATAAAAAAGAAACTTCACTGAAGATAATTTTATAACCGAAGCTCCAGGTACAGAGGTTTCCCTAGTCTTGAGGTAAAACTTGGTCAGCAGCACTAAGTCTGAATAGATGTAACAAGGAAGAGGGAGCCACGAATTTAGTGAATTAGGAAATGCATTACTGGCAGAGTAAGCAAAATATTCATATTTTAATTCGCTGTGGTCTCTCTCCACAAAATTTCCTCTAGAAAATATCCAATCTCCATAAAAGTTTGTAATCTATAAAGGACAGAATTATTTCTATCGTTACATCAGGAAAACAAGGCATTGATACTAATGTGCTGACGAAATCTGATGCTGGGTGAAAAATACACAAGTCAGGTGTCCAAATGTAGCACGACACTCCTGAAGGCCTTGTTTTAAAAGAGTTAGGATGCAGAAGCTTGCATTTCAGCTGTGTGACTTAGGTCTGTTCCGGGCAATTTTAGCCCGACAGTGACTCGGTAAAGAGGCAAAAAAGGAAGAAAAAGCTTTTCCCCATTAAAAGTTCATCAGATATACTTGTAAAGATACTGATTTTGAGCAAGGAGTGTTCTGTAATAAGAAACTCTTTAGCACCATGACTGTATCTTGGTCATTGCAGGCTACAATGAGGAGAGACTGTGAGGAACACTATTTTAGGTTTACAGTGAAGTCATCCACAAGGTGTTCAGAATTTTGCCTGTGCCATATGAATGTTTTTATCATTGTTTAATTCTATATCATAGGCTAACACTTGAGCTATAAACCAAATGCTTTGAAGAACTTTACAAAATATCACCCTGTACCTTTTAGAATAAAGCTTGGTGTTACAGATGCACTTTTTAAAAAACACTTAATTAGTTGACTGTTTGTTGCCACTCACCATTAGGTGCACAACATAGCATACAGTATCTAGCTACCACCACTCCACAGAAGTCTTACATACTCCAACATCCGACAAAAAAAAAAAAAAATTACTCTTTCCTCTTCACTTTTTTCAAAAAAGAGTATGATAGTTGATGACAAATTTTAAGTAGGAAGTACCAGAGATTAGTTGGTTTTTTGACTCTACTGTTTTCCTTGTATGGTACAGGTATATACTCTATAGAAGCAGAAATCATCTTCTTTATCAGAATCTGCAACTTCTTTTCAATTCGAGTAAGAAATCAAAAATTTGAAATCACAGGTTTTGAGATAAGATTGCAAACCTGTATTTTTTTTTATTGCTTTTATTGGTTATATGTCAGTAAAAAGTGTGGCAATCTATGTCCTTATGAAACATTTTCCTTCTGTTAAGTCAGTATTTTTCTGAAAGAAAGCCACTTCACTGCAAACATAATTACATACACTCAGCTTACTCATTTGTCCAGCAACTGATGTAAATGAGTCTGGGTTTCAGCTGGGGTTTCTAGGTACCAGTAAAACACATGTGACTTTGGGAGAGGGAAGTTCTGGGGATTTGGTGGACTTGTTCGTTTGCTTATTGTACTTTTTTGTTCTTGGGCAAGAAGTCAAAAAACAAAAAACATTTATTTTGTTAAGGCAACAATACATTTGAGTCATAGCTCCTACTAATGGGAGAAAAGAGACATGCCAAAGGCATGCACCCAGGTTCTCTGCATTTGTTAAACCAGAACAAAAAGAGTTCTACCTTTGCCTCAGGGAGCCTGTAGATGATATCAGCACTTGCACTCCGAACTTAGCTGAGTTTGCAAGATACAAGAGGATAAGAGCATGAATGAACTCTTTACAAACGGCAGCCAGACAGCCAGTGCTCAATGGTAAACAGAATGATGAGGGAGCTGCCGGAAGCAAGGGAAGTAATTGAAAAAAATACATCGCTGGTGTCAAGTAATAGCAATGGATAACAACACACTGTTTAAACAAAAGGTAAAAACCCCATACTAAACTGCTTTAAATGTTCTGTCAGCATTAGACATCTGTGCTTATTTTTGGGAGTTGCTAAACCACTAAGAATTAATGTGCATTTGAAGATTCATTTAGCAGCTGTTTACCAGCAATTGGTGCCTTACAGATAGCTAAAGTGCAGGAAGACTCACCTTGTATAAAGCAGGAATGATCTGACCCATTTTCAGGCGATGGAATACAAAGATATCGTACACAGCTGAAATGGCCAGAACAGTCACTCCTTGCTCCTTCCACAGCATGCTGCATCCCGCACACAGCCCTGCTCCCAAGATCCAGCCCCAAGTACTCGGTGAGGAACCTCTGGTAGAGCAGTGCTTCACGTAGCACATCAGGGAAAGCAGAAAGAAGAGGCAGGCTCCGATGTCTGCCCTCCCTACAATCCCCGCTACGGCTTCCGTGTGGATTGGATGAGACGCAAACAGCAGACCTGCTATCAAGGTCCAGTACCCATCCCCAAACAGGATCCTGGAGAAGTTTGTGAAAAGGCCTGTGACTGCAGCATGTAACAGGACGTTTACAAGGTGGTAGCCCCACGGGTCCATCCCTCCAACAGCATGGTTAATGCGGAAGGAGAGTGTGCAGAGAGGTCTGTAGGACTTGTGGCTCCCACTGTGAGTGAGCAGTGTCCCCCAAAAGTCATTGTAGAAGATATGGGTCCATGGCGTCTCAGGAAGAAGGTCCTGGTTTGTCTTGATAGCTCGACTGCAAAAGAAAAATAAAAACTTCATTTCAACAGAAGGAAAAGGATAAAAATTAAATGCTGTGAAAACGCAATCATACTGCTATGATAAGAAAGAATGGCATTGCTTTGGTGCTGCTTTAATTCAAGTTTTGAATTTTTACAAGAGGTATTGCATATCTATTGACTTCCCACTAAAGCAAAATTTCCATATAAATTGGCTTTTAAAACATTACAAACAGATGCTACGTTGCTTCCATTAAGTTAAAACACCCTTCAGTGACATTCTTCTGAGTCTAGCCCAGGAATAATCAGTTAAGATTTCATGAGTTATAATTAAAATGTAAAAGAAATATGAAAACCTGACAAACATTATTGTTGAAACAATGGATCCTCCAGTAATTCAGAACTAAAACCCCAACTGGTCTTTTATACAGAAGTTTTAATTTAGTTGTTGGAATGATTCTCACTGACATGGCTGAACAATAAATAGAGAAGTCGGTAGGTGCATGCAAATCTCTGCTGCTGCATGGGGCACTCTCACAACTGTCTTGTACATAATTTGACTGACAACATTTTCTGCCAACACCTTGCCAACTGCAGACAGCAGAATATTTTACAGATTGAAATATACCTTCTTTTCAAATTTCTTACATTTAAAATTGAGGAAAAAAAGAAAAAAACAAGACATTTTGAGGTTGTATTAGCTTATGAATTCAAGTCTGTGTCAGCTTGATTGGGGGAAAGAAAAATGCTGCAGCTTTCAGCATTTATGTTTCCAACCACCCTGGCAAGGATTGCTGCCAGCCATTAGCAGTCTCCATGTCTAATTCAGTACTGTAAAAATCTGTCCCCTATAATGTTTGTACAAATCCGATCATTTGCATTTAAAATTTATGCTGTGGGAGAAGGTGTGAGACCTGCTTAGCGCAGAAAGATGACTAGAATTTAATTAGTTACTTGCTTTCATAACCAAAGTTGCATTTAAGCAATTCTTTAAAGACGCATTGTTGTTACTACTGAGCTTAACTCATTTAGCATGTATTTTACTAGGCTAATTAAAAATCCAGCCAGCTTAAGACTCTTCTATTAAAAATATTAAACAAGAGATGATTTACATCACATTTCTTTACTCATTCCTTCTTTCTGCCTTTCCAATAAATATCTTCTCATAATTAACAATTTTAAATTCTGATAAGGAAGAAAAAAAAAATGGTGTGAGACTCAGGCTGGAGTTTGAAATGCATTACTCTAATTTATACTCAAAGACTCCCCTCACATTCTCCATTTTCTTGGAACCTGAAAAAAACCCCCCCTTTTTTTTGTTTTTTTTTGTTTTGTTTTGTTTTGTTTTTAATGTATTAGTTTCAGGAACGTTGTCTTGTTCTGTACAGAAAAACGCTCAAATGCTGATAATCCTATGCCACAGAATCTCCAAGCAAATACTCTAAATACCACGCAGCTCAGCATTTCCATTGTCCAGAGCACACTGCTGTAACGCTTTCAGACAGGCTTCCTCTCGGCAAGTCCTTTTGTCTCTGAGCACATGGAGGTTATGGAGAGGTCAGCTTAAATCCTTTAAATATCTGATGATGCTTTCGAGAATACTTGAAAATTTTCATTTTGACTTCTGCTTATGCAGTGGATCAGGTTGCTTGTATTTGTTTTCCCAACCCCATGCACATTTTTGTCATTTTAGTCCAGTCACAAAAGAACAGTGGAAGAAAACAAGATCTTTGTTTTCACGTTATTTATCTTGTCCTTCTGTGTAGTCCTTTCCTGAAATCTAATTCCTCTGTTTGTGATTTCAGTTTGTAGTATCACACTCAAAACGACTATCAGAAAACCAGGAATTCAGGAAGAATAAAGCAGGTGTTAGGCTAGAAAGAGTCCTTTCTCTGAGAAAAACAGACTATGTTAGACTACAGGCTCCCAAATGCTAAGAATGCCTATCAGATGTCAGGATTTAGAGTAGAAACCTTGAACTGCAAGAGTGTTTCTTCTTGGGGATATACTAAGAAAATAAGTGGCAGTAATACAGCCAGCACAACTGCCCTCCCCTGAGGCAGAGCAGTCTGCTACAAAGAGCCTAGATGGTACACAGGTTGTTCCTAGGTAAATGGTGGCTTTTATTATATGCTTTGAAAGATTTTGTAGTTTTACAATACTTGAAAATATTTTTTTGAAAATTTTCCACCCAACCACATTAAAAACAAACAAACAAACAAACAAACAAACAAACAAACAAACAAACAAACAAACAAACAAACAAACAAACAAACAAACAAACAAACAAACAAACAAACAAACAAACAAACAAACAAACAAACAAACAAACAAACAAACAAACAAACAAACAAACAAACAAACAAACAAACAAACAAACAAACAAACAAACAAACAAACAAACAAACAAACAAACAAACAAACAAACAAACAAACAAACAAACAAACAAACAAACAAACAAACAAACAAACAAACAAACAAACAAACAAACAAACAAACAAACAAACAAACAAACAAACAAACAAACAAACAAACAAACAAACAAACAAACAAACAAACAAACAAACAAACAAACAAACAAACAAACAAACAAACAAACAAACAAACAAACAAACAAACAAACAAACAAACAAACAAACAAACAAACAAACAAACAAACAAACAAACAAACAAACAAACAAACAAACAAACAAACAAACAAACAAACAAACAAACAAACAAACAAACAAACAAACAAACAAACAAACAAACAAACAAACAAACAAACAAACAAACAAACAAACAAACAAACAAACAAACAAACAAACAAACAAACAAACAAACAAACAAACAAACAAACAAACAAACAAACAAACAAACAAACAAACAAACAAACAAACAAACAAACAAACAAACAAACAAACAAACAAACAAACAAACAAACAAACAAACAAACAAACAAACAAACAAACAAACAAACAAACAAACAAACAAACAAACAAACAAACAAACAAACAAACAAACAAACAAACAAACAAACAAACAAACAAACAAACAAACAAACAAACCCAAACACCCACAAAACACAACAAATGGAACTGTATGAACCAGTACATATGTGTAAAACAACTCCACACTACACTGCTACTTTTGCGGGAGAGACCAGGCCCCCTCTCTAAGCCAATCATTTTCATGCAGGACATACTCCATATGGGACTATTCCCCACCAAAAGTAAACCACTTTTCTCCAAATCATAAAGAAACCTAATGTACATTCTAAAGACATTAATTTAGCCAAATTTTATTTATAGCCTTAGCAAAAAAATTTGGTGCAACCCTGATCCTTTCCTGTTTGGTTCTGTTCATATTAAAAATCATAAAACAAAAAAGAACAACAACAACAAAAAAAACATCACTACCTCCACTCCCCCCCCAAAAAACAAACAAAAAAAAAAAAAAGGAAGCCTCAAAGATAGGAAGATACGATATTGATCACCCTGTATTTGGGTACAGATTTCAGCAGGCAATTCTGAAATACTCGTCGTTTTTCCTGCATGTAAACGCAATAGAAACTAGTCTCTTCCAGTCACCATGGAAAATACAAAAGTTGTCAGTTCCAGCTTACTCAGGTCAAATGTGGTATTCTCCGAGTTAAAATTTTAAATTAAGTTATAAGTTCTTTCCATATTGTTGATTTTGGGCTAAATATTTGAACATAAAAGAAAAAAATACAGTCTAGCTAATTCTTTGGGATATTAGAGAAGTTTACTACAAGAGCAAAGCTAGATGTCCTACATCAAAGCAGCACATCTTGCTTAGGTTGCTCGTTAATGTTCAACAACTACTCTGTGTCATGCTACAACACGTAAGAGAAAACCACTCTCATCCAACATTAGACTGGACTGCGCAGGAGGAGCCAGGGCAACGGGGCTGGTCTCCAGTTCCCCACAGCCCTGCCCAGCCTTCAGCCTCACCCAGCCAGGGCCACATCCCAGCCTGGCCCCCACCCCAGGGAGATGCTCAATGCCAGAGGCTGAGGATGCCCCTGGCTGCCTTGCTCCTGCTTGGGACAAGGCCCTGGTTTTCTTTAATTACTCAATTAACAAGCTGTTAATTCTGCTGCAGTACTGATGCTTCGTTGCCAATTTTAACGGCAATCTTGAAAGCAGTTCCCCTTCACAGCCTGGCAGGTAGTGCTGACGCGTCCTTTGTAAAGCTTCCCGTGCTGGCAGCCACCAGGTCTCTCTACAGATAGAAAATAATATTAATTGCTGGCTCCAGGAAAGACTCTGGGATAAAGGAAACTACAAAACACCTTATTAGCCTTGTCTTCTCCTCCACTCACAGTTTACCTTCAGGTTACAACGTCCCACAGATTAGTCCAATCTTGCTAATGGGCATAACAAGAGAAACTCTCCAAGTGCACTCATCACTCAAACAGAGCCGTAAACTCTGCTCTCACTAAAAGGCAGCAGGTCACCAGGGAAAGTCATTTTTCAAAGCTCCAACACAACCGGCATTTTTACTTTCAAGCAGCCTCAGATAAGGGTTGCAGACACAGTCAGGGAACTTGCTTTCTTCAATTTTTAATGCCTGCCCATTTCACGCATCCCAGGAGAGCGGGATATCTTATTCAGTGTACAACAAATAGATGGGCTTGAGAGGAAGGGAAAAAAAGCATCAGAGTCAGCTATCAATTCTTCAGAAATGGAAGTCTGAAGAAAGACAAAAGCTGTAAAGGCAAAATCATAATTTCTAATCCACTTGAAAGAATCCTTCTGACTTCTGCCATAAACCACTTATTTGCCTAGGTCAGTACACACCTTGAACGCAATTCAGTAAGATTTCTTTCATCAAACTCAAAAATGCCAGAGATCCAGCAGCCCACATATGCATATGTACATACCCAAACAGACAAAAAAGCCACATATGTTTTTAAAATTAACAGCTATATATGTCCTAAACTTCTGCACTAGTGTTAAACTGATCCAGGTGTTAACACCAGGGTAAAAAAACAGATGCAACATTCTAAAGTGA